GGATATACACTGTTCAATTAACTTGCAAAACCTCGTCGGGAACCCAAAATATGATAAAACATGAAGTAAGAAATGCCACTCCACCCTATCATATGCTTTAGTCATATCTACTTTAATCATCACATTTCTACCACGAACCTTTTTATTCAGAGAGTTTACTAATTTTTGAGTGAGTGTAATGTTCTCGAAAATACTTTAACCTGGGATGAAGGCTCCTTGCTCTTGAGAGATAATCCTAGAAAGTATAACACTCATTCTCTGCACCAAAATCTTCGAAAATATTTTGTACACAACAGAGCAAAGACTGATTGGTCGAAACTTATCAAAACTGCTAGGATTCTCCACCTTTGGAATCAACACTATATATGATGATGTATAAAATCGAGGAAGCACCCCTCTTTCAAAAAACTCCTTTGTTGCCTCCACTAGATCCCCTTTAATAATATCCCAGCACTAGATAAAGAAAGCTGATCCATATCCATCAGGCCCAGGTGCGCTATCCATAGGTATCGAATGAGTTGTAGTTCGAACCTCCTCTTCAGTCCGCAAAACACATAGCATCTGTCCTTCCTCTTGAGAAATTGCAGACTCAATGATATGAGATAAATCTGGCACAAGTTTGCTTTCCTCACAACATTTGAATAGTTAAAATGAGCTTTTGAGACCTAAAAGTTGCTTTCAGACCCGTTTGACCAATTTTATAAAGGAAAAATTTCATAAATAAGAATTTAAGTATCATACATTTCAAAATCAAGAAAACAAGTTTCAAACTTCGAAAATCAGATAGTTATTAAAATCTATTTATGATTAAATTAATTAATTATTTTATTAATTAAATATATGTAGATCACAAATCTATATAATTGCGTCACAAATTACCGATTTAATTTGTCACTTATTATTTTTGGTCACAAATCATAAATTTTACGTCACAAATTATTTTATGGTCACAGTTCAAAAATCTTATAGTCATAATTTGTTCATCGATCACAAATCGAAAATTTTATAAGTCACGATTTATTTGTTAGTCACATATCAAATTATCGATCACAGATGAACAATTGTTTAGGTCACATATTATTTTTTGGTCACTATTCATCTTTTTCATTGGTCAGATATTGTTATTGATCATATATTAACAAATTCAATGGTCACAATTAATCAAATAATTTGTGACCACCACCAACACTTGCGACCACCGTCGCAATCACTGTCAGAACTACCACTACCACCACCTTAAACAAATCAACGCATTGTAGAAAAACACCGTCAAATTGATACACCAGATCCACCCCGACAAACACACACTGCCTCACCACCACACAATCGCAGCTTGTACCACACCACCACAACTACCAGATTATGTATTCTTAAAGAACTAATGAATAAATAAATTTTAATACCTTATCATTTTATATTTTTTGATAAATTTGAACAAAAAGATTTTGCCCACTTCCTTGTCCCCAATTATAGCGACTTTACAAAGAGATGTAAAAATCACACCACTATATTTTAAATTAAACAAATAACTTTATACACTTATATCTGGAAACTCTCTTAAACACACTCAAAATCAAAATCGTACCAGAAATATAATTCTCTATATAGCTTGATTTTTGGGTTATTGAATCCGCGTCTTAACGAATAATCATCTCCAATCTCGCTGCATGTAGATGAGGATTAAAATATCTCCATTTGTCATCCTGGTTTATTTTTTTTTATTTTTAAAATGATTTAAATTTAAAAATAAAAACTAAGAGTTAGGGTAAAAATCATGTTCTTCATTTCGATTGCTTACGGGGCAAGTTAAGACATTTTGCCATCTCTATAATGACAATAGACTCGTCAATTGGCAATAGGTTGAGAATCAGTTGCACAATTTTCCATTTATATATAAGAGTATAACAAGACAATATTCCAAATTATCTCTCAACAAGCAACCTAAATGTATCCAAGCCGCGTAGACTGTGTTCCTCGTGACACCGTCCTAACCTTCGAAACTTCCTCAATATTTGCGTTCACACCTCTTCTGTGAACTGATATTCTCAAAGTCCTATTTTATGATTTTGACAATTGACATTCTTCCATACGTGTTCACACTTCCATTCAAACATTCCTCAAAGACCTCGACTGTATATGTATATCAAGTTCCCGTTCCACCCAGAAAATCCTGATTGCTTGTCTCAAGAAACCCATTTGCAGATGAATGAAAACAAGCAGCAGCTGAAGAAAAGAAGAAAGGAGAATGCAACAGATACCAGTGTTGTTGATGAACAAATTGTTGAAAAACGAGGTGGGGTGAAGACAAAAGGATTGAAAGAGATCTTGACTTCTTTAATTTTGCTTGAGGATCAAGAAAAGGGCGGCGGACAACAATTCGCCAAGGCCCATCAAGAAGAAAGGTTACAATTAGAGGAAAATCACAAGAAGAAGGCAAGCGCAACGCTAGTATGTTACTCCAAGTTTCATGTAATAACTCTTTTCATCTAAAAGTTTAAACTGTTATGCATTTATAGATATTTAGTTAAATTTTGTCTTCAATAGCAGGACTATCAGGAGGATGTGGATCGCGTTGATGGTGCTAGAAAAAGAAAGGCACGTGCCAATGTGTTTGCTGCATCAAATGCTACTGCCATCGCCCTTGCCTCGGCCGACATAGAGGATTGCATTTCAGGTGGTAACGATAAAACTGGCGCGAGTGATGAAGCGCCAGCAACAGGGTCGCGAAGGCGGCTTTGGGTTAAGAATAGATCGAAAGATTGGTGGGATCAATGTAATAGTCCGGATTTCCCAGATGAGGAATTTAAGAAGGCATTTAGAATGGGAAAAGATACTTTTGACTTGATATGCAATGAATTGAGTTCGGTTGTTGCCAAGGAAAATACAATGTTGAGGGATGCTGTCCCTGTGAGGCAACGCGTTGCAGTGTGTATATGGCGGTTGGCCACAGGGGAACCGCTTAGGCTTGTTTCGAAGAAATTTGGATTGGGAGTTTCGACCTGTCACAAGCTTGTTCTCGATGTTTGTTCTGCAATTAGGAATGTTTTGATGCCAAAATATTTAAGGTGGCCGGATGACGAAACGGTGAATTGTATTAAGGATGATTTTGAGTCCTTTTCCGGGATAAGCAATGTTGTGGGATCAATGCACACAACCCACATTCCAATCATTGCTCCTAAAGTAAGCGTCGTGGCCTATTTCAACCGAAGGCACACAGAGAGGAATCAAAAGACCTCCTATTCGATNTGTCTCGAAAACGTAAGCCTATTAAATATGAAGGTTCAAATTATTAAGTGCCTAGTACGTTTAATGTTAGTGCAGCTGTGAGTTTAGAAGGATTTTATATCAAGTAAAAAGAATGTAAGTTAATAGGAAAACAACTGTACTTTTCAAGTGTGTCCTTTATTTACTGTGATATTGAAGCATTATGCAATCGCCGGGTCTCTCACTATTTTTTCTTGTTTTCGCTTGACAATATATTGAGATTTGACCACGATGTCCTATATCAGGGTTTGAATGTAAACGAAATGGAGGAGCTGCATGGGGACATAAAGATGCACCTTGATTTGGACAGCGAAACTCCGACTCGTGTACAATACTGGGAGGTATTATCTCCTCTATTTTCTTGTACAATATGATATGTACAATACTGAAAGTCTCATGTCTTCTTTATACTTGTATATTACTTATTTCCGTACATATAATGATATAAAGCATAATGACATTTATAGCAATGTAACATTGTCTTCATTTTTGCTTATTTCTTGATTTACATATCACATTTCCGTTATTTTTTTTAATCTTGCAACAATGCTTCAATAAAGCTTTAAACTTTGATGAAGATGTTGACAACTCTCAAATGCTCTGACAATGAACTATTAATTCTGTTATTTCATAGCAGCGAGAATTGATATATAATGATTTGTGTAATTCTACTACTAGTAGTAATATTTATTTGTCTCATATGTATTATTTGTTTGTTCTTCAGCAATTCTCTTGCAATTAGGTAGATATGCAATACATCATGGTATGGAAAAACCTATAAAACATTTGGAGGTTTCACGAGGGCGTTTTGAGAGTCATGTTTGTGTGATTGCGAATTAGAAAATATTATATGGTGCAGAATTGTAGGTTGTACAGCAAGATACTGTGTGGGGATCAATGATTTTTCAAAATTTGATTTCTGTTGTACAATATTTATTATATTTTAGGTTAGAGATGGTTGACCTGTCCTATCATTTGTTGATTATTTGAACCCCTTCTTTATATGTTATAACTCTTCTCATTCTTAATTGTTCGCCTATAAATGAAATTCTGGTCTTTACTATTCCACTCCTGTTTGTATGCTGAACTTTTCTAGATATTCTGAGAATTTTTTCTCATATTAAACATAATTTACATGCATCTTAGGAATACATATTTACCCTTTACAGCCAGAAATGTCCGAAAAAGTTAGTACTGTGTCCATGCTAATATTGTTGGCCCCATAGTATTGTTAGCACTTAATAAGGATTTCGTGTACTCATAAATGTACCGACATTAGAGGGTAAGCTCGACTTAACAGTTTCTTCTCCTTTCCACTAACCATTCAAAGTGGAATGAGAGAAGTCGTCATGTGCATCCCTTGTCTTGTGCTTGTCATTTATGAGCAACTGCTGCATGGCTTGCTTGTGTCAATTCTTGTTTTGGTATGGAAAAAGCATTTGACAGTGTGTTCTTATTCACAAGCTACAAAATTTCCTGCGGGCTGTACTTGGGCCCATCATATATACCATAGTGCTTGCTATATTTAATTTTTTTTTCAGATGCAAGTCTACAACTACTATCATAGTATTTAACCATTTGAAGTACCCTTTTTTATGCTTTTCCATTTCTTCTTTGTGCATATAAATGATTCCACTGGTGGGAATGTTATCCTTCAGTTTATGTTTCGTAAAGAATTTTTGTTTAGCATCTTGATGAGTCTCATATTTTTGGTTCATCCTTTCCCTGCCATGGACTTCTCATTTTCTCTCACGGATGCACTTGCATTTGGGAAAAATATGGATAGGGCTTCTATACATTATTATCTCGGCTAGATGAATTCTATCTTTACTCTTGAATAT